AGAAAGGCAGAGACAAAAAGTGAGAAATCACCCCCCAGGGGGGATGGCCATGCCGCAATCCCTTCTCCTCCATTCTCTCCTCGGGATCTTGGGCACGCATGCACACACGCGGCATGAGTTTAAGCCATCGGGTTTAGGACTCAAACCAAGGTTGACTACATAGGAGTCCAGCGAAATAGCCATTAATCCAACTACTGGTCCCAAAACATTTATACATTTTTGAACCATGGGACTATTAATCTAACTTAAAGTCAAACAATTATTTTTAAAATCTGCAAATTTTTTACTTTCCTACATATTGTTGGCATTATGTTAACTATTACCACTTTGACTTAAAGTATAGCCATAAAAGTTAGTTATTCTGAATTAGGAAGTCTATTTAAAATTACTGAAGTGATTCAAAATAAGTAAAAAAAAAATACTAGATCATACAGTTAAAGACAGGTATTGTATGTCTCCTGCTCAATATATACTGAATGTATGTATGTGTGTTCTATAGAAGAAACTGAAAGATGGGAAGGTGTAACAGGGAGGGCAACTGTAGAGACAGTGTGGAGGGAGGATAGCAGGGGATGGGTAATAAGGGGGGGAGAGATAGGGGGAAAAAAATAACACATTCAGTAAACACAAAAATGAAAAGTTACCTCTGGATGATAATGTGTATTATAATGTCTTTGACTTGACCAACATGCACCGCATTCATGCTAAGAAAAACCATGTACTCTGTAAAGATGTACAGTGATTTAAAAAAATATATATATATACTAGGTCATAAAGTGACTGAAAGACAATTGTAGGATTAGGGGACACTCTCAGAGCCTGGGCCTGACTAGCCTTCCATTGTTCCTTGTTTCTATCTTCTAGATGGTTCCTTCATCAGCCTCGGGCCAAGTTCGAGGTTACTATGTAGACTGGAAAATGTTGCGTGATGTGAAGAGACGAAAAATGGCCTATGACTATGCTGATGAAAGGCTACGGATCAACTCGCTTAGGAAGAATACTATTTTGCCAAAAGATCTTCAGGTTTGCTAACTAAAATAAATCCCTTTCTACCTCAAGATCAGTAGCTCATTATCAGATCACTCTTGATACTATTTGTTGTGACTTAGTTATCAATATGATTTCTGGAGAGTAATATCAATATAAACAGCCTTGAAGCTGATTTTGGTCAGTTTTAGAGAACTGTTCACACCTACCTAGCCTTTCATCCTTTCTACTTACTCTATACTTATCAAGTTCGGGTGAGTGGTCACCACAGAGATATTGGGCAGTTATCTGTCCCGAGATCTCCCCTATTTCATCCTAGTATTTCAACTCTCAATGGGTGGGAGCTACTCCTGGTATGTGGAGCTGTATGTCCAGCATGTGGCCTAAACTGCTCCTTATCCTAGACCATTCTTGACCTGTCTTTTTAAACTGTTGCCCACTGCTCCTCAAGCTGAATAGGAAATCTACCCTGCTTGGCTTCCTGAAGCACAAGGTTCCTCACCAAATGGTGACATAGAATGTCTTCATTCAAGAATGTCAGAGACTGGGACCAGAAGGTGGTGTGGTGGTTAAAGTACTGGACACACCCACCTGGCTGACCATGATTCAAGTCCCAGACCTGGCAGCTTACTTTCTCACTTTTCCTCTTTCTCTCTCTGTCTCTCTCTGGTCAAACTAAAAAATCAATGAATGAATAAATAAAATTAAATAATTTTTTTGAAAAATGTCAGAAAAAAAATAAAGAATGTCAGGGACCCTAAATTAGAGCCACAGCCAACGAAAATGTTATGCATTATTATGGATTATTTACAATCTTGTATGGATTAGGGCAGTCAAACAGAAAGCTAAGTGCCTTACCATAATGGCATTAAGCTAACATTTACATTTAGGGCATAAGTGGTAACCCCTGAGAATGTTCAAGATGTTGTTGATCATAGAGGCAGAGACTAAAATGGTGTTCCCAGGGGCTGGGATGCCAGGCAGGACAGGGAGTGGGGTACTGAGCAAGGAATGAGGAGTTGTTGGTCAAAGGGTACAAACCAAATTATAAGATGAATAATTGTGGGGATCTAATGTGCAGCCCTAGTGACTGTAGTCAGAACTGTAGAATATACTTGAAATTTGTCAGAGGAGGAGATCTGAAGTGTTCGTACCACACACACAGAGGCAACTATGAGGAAAGGACTATGTTAATTAGCTTGACTGTAAAAATCATTCCAGTGTATACATATGTTAAATCTTACACACCTAAAATATTTACACTTTTTGTCATTCATACCTCAGTAAAGCTGAAAGGAGAAATGTTGCTGAGCACATTATTTATGAAGTGTCTCAGAAGAAATGTCTCTGGCATCAGTACCAGCGATAGCTGTGCAGAGACTGAATCATGGAAACTGATGGGGATCCCTGTTGCCTGTTAAGTAGCTTACAAGTCACGTTTCTGTCGCAGTGTACAGGCTTTCACAGCATGCACTTCTGAGTCCTGAGGCTTTTATCCTTTCTAGTCCCATTTCCCTTTGTTCCAATTTCTTCATTTATAAATTGCCTTAAATCATTTTGGGAACAAGGAAGGACAGGTATAAATAAAGTAAGTAATTTATAGCCATTCTTTAAGGTCTGCCTCCATGAAACTGCCTGTCTTCTAGCCCAGTTATTTCCTCTCACCAGTTCTCCTATAGCACTTACCATCCACCATTGATTTAATCATGCTGTTTTATTTAATTTTATAAGTAGTTCATGATGGCAACTATGCATAAGTTTTTGGAGAGTAGGAACTATTCTTAATGCTTAATAGTTTGTGTCAATTTAGTGGCTTTAAAGTGTGTTATCTGGTTGAATTTGCATCCTTTTAGTGTAAGAGTAATCATTTTGTTTCTCAGAGTCTAGCACAGGGTCAGTCATGCTCAACAGCACACTTGTCAGGTTCAAGTATTAGAGACACTTGTATGCACACCCAACTTTTTTAAGAGAGATTCTTGCTATAGGGTGCGGGCACTCGCCAGAGACAGACAGAGAGAAAGCAAGAAATCACCCCCCCAGGGGGGATGGCCACACCTCAGTCCCTTCTCTTCCATTCTCCTCTTGGGATCTTGGGCACGCACGCACACACCAGGCACCTGGCGTGTTTTCAGCCACTGTGGTCAACTATATGGGAGTCCAGCGACATAACCATTACGCCATCTGTGGGCCCCACACCACACTCTTAAGCACACATGTGAGAGTAGATAGCTCCTGACAAACCTTAGCCCAAGCTAGCACTGTAGTCTTGTTTTTCTCCCATCAACCATTTGCCCTTGCCAGGTTCATTCTCTACATTACAGATGATTTTTTTAAAAGTACATCTCATCTGAGTCTTTCCCTTTACTTCTTTAGCAGTTAAGTAGCTTACAAGTCACGTTTCTGTCGCAGTGTACAGGCTTTCACAGCATGCACTTCTGAGTCCTGAGGCTTTTATCCTTTCTAGTCCCATTTCCCTTTGTTCCAATTTCTTCATTTATAAATTGCCTTAAATCATTTTGGGAACAAGGAAGGACAGGTATAAATAAAGTAAGTAATTTATAGCCATTCTTTAAGGTCTGCCTCCATGAAACTGCCTGTCTTCTAGCCCAGTTATTTCCTCTCACCAGTTCTCCTATAGCACTTACCATCCACCATTGATTTAATCATGCTGTTTTATTTAATTTTATAAGTAGTTCATGATGGCAACTATGCATAAGTTTTTGGAGAGTAGGAACTATTCTTAATGCTTAATAGTTTGTGTCAATTTAGTGGCTTTAAAGTGTGTTATCTGGTTGAATTTGCATCCTTTTAGTGTAAGAGTAATCATTTTGTTTCTCAGAGTCTAGCACAGGGTCAGTCATGCTCAACAGCACACTTGTCAGGTTCAAGTATTAGAGACACTTGTATGCACACCCAACTTTTTTAAGAGAGATTCTTGCTATAGGGTGCGGGCACTCGCCAGAGACAGACAGAGAGAAAGCAAGAAATCACCCCCCCAGGGGGGATGGCCACACCTCAGTCCCTTCTCTTCCATTCTCCTCTTGGGATCTTGGGCACGCACGCACACACCAGGCACCTGGCGTGTTTTCAGCCACTGTGGTCAACTATATGGGAGTCCAGCGACATAACCATTACGCCATCTGTGGGCCCCACACCACACTCTTAAGCACACATGTGAGAGTAGATAGCTCCTGACAAACCTTAGCCCAAGCTAGCACTGTAGTCTTGTTTTTCTCCCATCAACCATTTGCCCTTGCCAGGTTCATTCTCTACATTACAGATGATTTTTTTAAAAGTACATCTCATCTGAGTCTTTCCCTTTACTTCTTTAGCAGTCAGAATCTTCTTAGACTTTAAGACTCTCTGATCCTGCCTTTCTTCCCTCCCTAGTTTCATCTCAAGACATATTCCCTCCTACTTGTTCATCAGGCCAGAGGTTTCACTTTCATCATTCAAATATATGGAGAGGCAACAGAAATGCAGTCACATATTTTGCAGGCGACTTACTTAAGCAAGAATATAATGTGCCACACTTCATAAAGCTCAAAACTGGAAGCTACCAGATGTCCATCACCTGTAGAAGACATAAATTACAGTATACTCTCACAAATCACCACCAGTAAGAATGAGGAAGTTACAGTACATCTAACAATATGGGTGAAATTCACAAGCATATATATTGTTGAATGAAAAAGGCAAACAGAAATGAAGAGAATACATACCATATGGTTACATTTGTATACCATTCACAAAAGGAAAACCTCCTGTGTTGTCAGTAATTGGGTGAGTTGATCAGCATTAGTGACTGAAAAGCACAGGCAGGGCCTGGGGTGCTGAGGATGATGTTTCATAATTTAGTGCTGGTTACACAGATATGTTCTGTTTGTAAATTTTTACTGACCATTATACTTATTGTTTATACTTATGGTTCTATGTTATGTTTCATCTTTTAAAAACTATATTGGAAGGATGTCAGACATTCCTGGCAGCTTTCTTATCTATTTGTTTCTGCTCAGACATTAAGCTTTACTAGTGTCCAGGGTTCTTTGGCTAAACTGCTACAGCAGTGAATTTAGCTCCCTCTTCTCCTCCTCTAAGCAAGACTTACAAATCTGGAATAAACAAACACATGTGATCTGTATGATAATGTGATTTCCCTTAGGATATGGCTGATGAAGAAATTGCTGCCCTTCCCCGTGATAGCTGTCCTGTCAGAATCCGAAATCGGTGTGTTATGACATCCCGTCCACGTGGTGTGAAGCGACGCTGGAGGCTGAGTCGCATCGTCTTCCGTCACTTAGCCGACCATGGGCAGCTCTCTGGAGTCCAGCGAGCAATATGGTAAATCTGCTGCAGAAACTACTGAGCCTGCAGGGAAGCATGGAGAGACTTTTCTAAAAGATAAAATTCTAGTTTCTAGCGTGGCCCAGTGTAGTTGTCTAGTCTGCTTGACGTTTTCCGTACTTATATTTTCTTGGATTTAATAGATTAAACATACTGTTCTCACACATACATACAGAGTATAATAATAAAAAATATTTTCTGTGAAAATATGCTCCATATGCTTTCCTTTTCCTTCAAATTCTTTTAGTAATATAAAAGGGGTTTTGTATTTTTTTAATAACATTACTTCATAAAATAGTGTTATCATATAGTCAATTCATCTAATTGACATGCAGCTCGTCTGTCACAAACTGTAATCTTGGCCTGGCTTCCCTGACCTAGAGCTAGTGGTGTTAGAGAAACAATAGATAAGAAGGTAAATCTGATAATCTGGGTTATCTAACTTAATGCCCAGTTTCTTTGTGTGATAGCTGAACAAAAGAACCACTTCCATCTTTAAGGGCCTTTACAACAAAATATGCCTTATTATTAAGGCCTTGAAAATGTAGCCAAGAGAAAAAGTTTCATTATAGTATATTCGTATGCCCCATATATACATATTTTATTCAATGTGTAAAAAAGAGATAGCTCCTTGGGGCCAGCAGGTGGTGTGGTAGTTAAGGGCCCTGGACTCCCACATGGCCAACTGTGGTTCAAGTCCAAGATCTGGCAGCTTGCTTTCTCATTTCCTCTTTCTCTTCCTCTCTCATTCTGTCCCTCTCTGGTCAAATTAAAATAAGTAAATAAAAAAAATTTTGAGACGTTTTTGCTACAGGATGCATGCGCTCGCCAGAAAGAGAAAGTGAGAAATCACCCTCCAGGGGGATGGCCATGCTGCAGTCCCTTCACCTCCATTCCCCTCTTGGGATCTTGGACATGCATGCACATGTGTCGGATTTGAGTTTAAGCCAACAGGTCTGGGACTCGAACCGCAGTTGACTACATAGGAGTCCAGTGATGTAGCCGTTATGCCATCTGCTGGTCCCAATAAATAAAATTTTTAAAAAAAGAAAGAAAAAGGATAGCTCCTGACAGAACCCTAACCCAAGATATTGCTATAGTCTCATTTTTCTCTTGTCAACTATATTGCTCTTTTTTAGGTTTTTGCCACAGGGCACATGCACATGTCAGAGACGTGAGAAGCAGAGTGAGAAATCACCACCACCACCCCCCAGGTGAGCTGGCCACACTGCAATCCCTTCTCCTCTAATCTCCTCTTGGGAATTTGGGCCTGCACACACATGTGCCTGGAGTGATTTCCAAGCAGTTGGCATGTAGGAGTCCAGCGCTTTAACCACCAGGCCACCTGCTGGTCCGGACTGTTTTGCTCTAAAAGAGTAGCAAAATGGAAGCCCTCTAGTTCAGGAAAATATTCCTGGAGGCGATACCTGTGGGAACAAAAGCACAAAGAAACAAAGCCACAGAGAAGGCTTCAAGCAAACTAGTCACTCCAGTGTATCAAAAAACACGAAGCAGGGACCAGCAGTTAGCGTAATGGCTATGTGGCTGGACTCCCCTGTAGTCGGACAATGGTTCGAGTCCCAGACCCGGTGGCTTAACCTCAGGCGGGGCGCGTGTGTATGCGTGCCCAAGATCCCAAGAAGAGAATGGAGGAGAAGGGATTGCAGCGTGGCCATCTCCCCTGGGGGGTGATTTCTTGCTTCCTGTCTGTCTCTGTCTGGTGAGCGCACGTGCCCTATAGCAAAAAAAAAAAGAAAAAAAAAGAAAAATCGAAGCACAGGACAAGAAGGGCTGTATAATGGAAGATCTCATATCATGGGAAGGAGCTGAGAATTTAAATTTCAGGTATCGGAAAGTTTTAAGCAGAGGGATAACATCAGTTTGTCCTACAGATAACTGACAGCTACATAGTAGATGGCCAAGAGGGGCAAAGGCTACAGACAAGACAACCACGTAGGAGGAGGATGTTCAGGAAGACAAGGGCTTGAGGTAGGTAGTGGTATTAGCAAAGGGAAAGAAAAGATTTAGGAAGCAAAACTGGGTGAAACTCAAGATGATTAATTTCTAAGAGGTAAGGAAGGTACTTTGGGTTCCTGGTTAGTGTCTAGAGAGATGACAGAGTACAACTCTTAAGATAGCAAGTATGAAAATAATGTCAAGTTTAGGGGAAAGGTGTGAGCTCAGATTTCAGTTGTGCAGTGTTTGAGATGCCTATCATTTGATGGGGAAGCCTAGGTATAGCTAGAGAGCAGAGCCTGGGATTCAGGTGGAGATGGAGTTATGAGGGAATTATAAAATACCTCAAATTCGTGTTGTCTAAATTTATATGACAACCTACTAACTAGAATGCTCTAGGCTAATCTCTCAGTAACGGTTTTTCAAACCTTAAGTAAAGCAGTCTAATTTTCTCATTTCTAGCTTATCAATGACACCTTACCTTTTTATTTGAATAGAGTACAAGCATGATCCATATATTTCATTTGGTAATATCTCCTCAATATTTTTTTTCCATAAGCCCCTTCCACGTTTTTTTAAGGTCTTTGCCATAGGGTGTGTGGACATGTGCACATGCCAGAGTTCCTTCTCCATTCTCTCTTGGAGATTCTGGGCACATGCACACACACATACCTGGTGTGATTTCCAAGCCACTAGGTCCAGGGCTCAAACTACGGTCATCCATGTGGGAGTCCAGTGTCTTAACCACCATGCTACCTGCTGGCCCTACTCCTTCCTTTTTTGTGTAATTCATCCCTTGATGAAACCAGGCCATTTGCCCAACACTCAGCTTTGCCTCATCATGTGCCCTTTGATTTATTCCCTTGTCTCCCAAATTTCTGGTAAATTGGTAGTTACAGGCAGAGGGTGGACTGATTCAGGTCAGTTTTTAAGGAATGAAGTTTCTCCACAATCCTGTGTACTGTATAAAGTTATTTTTTGTATTTCATTTTACCTTGGTCTATTTCCTTAAGGGATGAAATGGTGATTCTCTAATTCCATCATTTTTTCTGCATAAGGTAAAATTTTTCTTTAAGGAACTTTCCCTTATTGACAGTTTATTTCCCTGAAAAACATTTCTTCAAGACAGTATAAATACATGGTTCTCTGTCAGTTTTCAGAGTAAATAAGATTCTGTTCTAGCCAATGAAAGTGGTAACAAGTTATTTTTCACTTTCATTATGAATTTAGAGATTTTTCTGTTTAGTGTTTACTCCTGTCATTTTTTTTCTGCCACTTTACTGAATTTAATTGAAGTATTTAAATGTATTATTTTAAAATTTTTAACCAGAAACAGAGACAGGAAAGTAAGAAAGCAAGTTGCCAAGTCTGGGACTCAAACTGCAGTCAGCCACGTGGGAGTCCAGCACTTCAAGCACACCACACCACCTGCTGGTCTTTTTCTCGAATAGTTTGAAAAGAATCTGTACTCAGTCTCCAGAAGATTTGTAAAATCCAACAGTAAAGCCATCCAGACCCGGGCTTTTCATCGTTGAGACACTACTTATTCAATCTTGTTGCTTTTGTCAGGCTCTTTTTCCCTGGTTGAATGTTGGTAGATTTTGTGTCCAGGAATTTATCCATCTCCTCTAAATTTTCCATTTTGTTGGCATATAGTTAATAGTTTATAATAATCTTTTATATTTTTGTGGCAGCGGTTGTAAATGTCTCAAGGGGGTCTTCCCCACTATATTGCACAGGACAGATACTAGGGTCACTGCTGCATCACTCAGCTCAGCTGTGACCTGGTTCGGATGGTCTTTGCCTTGTCTCACTGGAGCAAAAGTGAAGCTTCAAGGGTGTGGAGGTGCAAGTTCTGACCCTAGGGCAGGATATACATTGGTTGCTGCCCAGCCCCCAAATGCTATACTGAGTTTGGGCTCCAAGGAGGGGGTGGAATCTGTGTTCCTTTTCTGGGTAGTATACCACAAGGACTCTGGGAAACTCCCTACGTGACTTTGTGACTCTGGTAGCAAATACTATAGGTGCCCAAGGTGGAGGTGTGGCGTGTCAGATTATTTCAAACCTCTTCTCCACATGGGGTGCTCTCCTTAACTGAATACTACTGTTCTGGAACCCTCTCCTTTATGCCTACATCTCCAGCTTCTGTGCCTCAGTGGTTTCTTCTCTGCTTTGTTCAAAAACTTTTTGGCCACAGGGCGCATGTGCTCACAGAAGCAAGGTGAGAAATCGCCCCCAGTGGGGATGGCCACACTGCAATCCCTTCTCTTCCATTCTCCTCTGGGGATTTAGGGCAAATGTGCACATGCGCCCTGCATGACTTTCAAGCCTCATGATCCAGGACTCAATCTGCAGTTGGCCACATGGGCATCCAGCACCTTAACCACCATGCTTTGGCCCATCTTTGAATAGTTGCCATGGGTGTCTCTAGTCAGCCATCCTTCCTACCCTCTCCTTTTGGGTACTCAAATTGTCCCATTACCATTAAGTCTCATCAGTTGGCTCCTATATCCTGTTGACATGGTACAGAATTAGTTTCCTTGCTTTCTGGCCTAAAGTAACCCAGGCTTACCTTATATATTTCATGACTCAGACATTTTTTTCCCCAAAGGTGTGAGGTCCTTTCAGTAGGAAATGGTATTGAGACCACACTGAGCCCTAGGGGTGCTTTTTGCTACCAAATTGCCACTTTTAGGTGGTTTTGATGGGCCTTGCAGGGAAATCTGTATTAGCAACAAAATATTCCTATAAAGTTATTTGAAAATAATTCGTTTATATTGCCAACTTGATATGCATGCTATGGTTTGGATGATTCTATCACCCAAATTCATGTTGAAAATTAATACCCAGGGCTTCAGTATTAAGAGGTGGGGTCAGGGCCAGTAGATAGGTGGTGAATAAGACAGTAGACTCCCACATGGCCAACTGTGGTTGGAGTCCTGAACCAGGAGGTGTGAAAATCACACTGGGCATGTGGGCATGTATGTGCAAAATCCCAAGAGAGAAGGGATTGAGGTGTGCTCTCTAGGGGATGGGGTGATTTCTCACTTTGTTTCTCTCCTGCAAGCACATATGCCATGCCAAAAAAAAGGTGGGGCCTTTAGGAAGTGGTGTGACCACCCTCGAGGATGGAATCAATGTTCCTATATAACAATTTGAGGGAGCAAGTACTTCATGCCTTTTGTCCTTCTACCATGTGAAGATACTCCTAGAAGACATCAACTCGGAATAAGTGAGGCCTTGCCAAACACCAATCTCCTGGTACCCTGATCTTGGACTTCCAAAATGAACTAAGAAATTATTTTCTATTTATAAGTTATCCAGTCTAATTTTATAACAAGAAGAATGGACTAAACTAGTGAGTTACATTTGTTTTCAAATTTTAGATCGTTCTAGTCAAAACTGTAAAACAAGGTACATTCACAGAAGCATTGCTTCCCGCCTGAATCTTCCTTCCTCAACTGGAAAGAATTTCTACCAGTTCTGGATTTACACCTTTGCATTGTTTAAAATATAAGCACATGTTTATGTATTCACATTTTCCACCTTTTCTTACACAAAGGTAGTATCTTGTACTTTGTTCTTTCAACTGTTGGGTTGTCAGGAAAGTCATGACACAGTTTTTCAAAGAAAAACACAGAAAACATGACTTTCCCAACAACCTAATATATCCTGATCATTTTTTATATAGAAATGATCTTATTTTGTGTGATTCTAAGAACTCTGCCATGTGGATGTACCAAAATATATTCAGCTGGTCCCATTAACAGATATTTGGGTATTTCAAATATTTCAAATCTTTTGCATATAACATTCCTTTTTTTTTTTGCCAGGGTATCTTTTAGAGACTTTTTTTTTTAATTGCTCTCATGGCCAGAGGTGCACACACTTGGTGGGAAGCACACCCTCCCAATGGGACATAGTCATGCTGCAATCCTTTTTCTTCCATTTCTTCTATCCTGTCATGATTTTAGGCATACACAGACATGTGCTCAGAATTTTTCAAACCACTGGGGCAGGGATTCAAACCATGGTGTGAGCCATGTGGGATCCAGCTCCCTATACACAAAGCTTTATTTTTATAGCATGGAGCTGGTCTAGATAGGGTCTATAAGTAGAATTTTGCATCAGAGGATAAATAAATGCATATGTAATTCTCGTATGTAATATACAAATACCCTTCCACATAAGTTTTAACCTTTTCATTCCACTCCCATTCTTGTGTGTCCCTATTTCTTCATAGCTTCAACACTAAACACAGTATGTTAAACTTCTGGAGTTTTCCTAGTGAAAGGTAAGAGACTGCTTTTTACTATTTCTTACCTGAACAAGGTGAGCATCTTTTCATGAGTTAAAGGTCATTTATTCTTCTCTGTGAATTTTTTGTACATAATTGTAATTCTTTCAGTATGTCTGTTTTTGATTATGGTGAGCTTCTTTTGCTATGAAAACATTTATTTTTATGTAGTTAAAACTGACATAATTAGTTTTATTCTTTCTAGTGTGTATGCCACGTGGAGCAGTTTCCTCTCTTAATAATGGAATTCCACGTCTCTAGTATTTGTACGTTTTAATTTTTTATAGTCAGATCTCTGATCTGTTTCAGATGTGTTCGAATGACTATTTTTACCTCAATATTATTTAGGACCACTTTTGAAATGCTATTTATGCTGTATTCTAAAACTTCCATATGCATTAGGTATTTTTATTTGGTTCCACTTATCTGTTTATTCACATGCCAACAAAACAATTATGGAAGTATTGTAACTATTTCAGTATTTAGTAAATCCTGTCACTTTTACCAAACACTCTGAATTAGAGCAGTTCTGGTTAGTCCATTTGGGTTTTTCTTGTGCATCTAATTTCTCTTATCTAAGTACATTGGCTAATTCTTCCAGTATGATGTAGTGAAGATCATAGGTACCTTGCTCTGGCTTCTGATTTCAGGGAAACTAACTTCTCTCTAAAATAAACAATTCCTTCCGAAAGTCTTGACTTTTCTGTCATACCCTGGACAAAGAGTAAAACTATTCCACTGAATTAAAAAAATCTAACTTTATTGAATATAGGAATGGATGGATTTTCAAATTAATTATTTTAGCTTTATGGTTATTACTTTTATAAGCCCTCTGACCCATGGCAAAACATTCTAACTGGTATACACAATAATGCTTGTCTATTCTTGTCAAGTTTCTATTTAGTTTCAGTTCTATAGGTGCATAAACAAATATATTTAAATACACAGGATCATCTATAACTGAATTACTGGAACATGGTAATGCATTGCAGCTGGTAGTAAGAAATTAACTTCCAAGTACAAGTACAAACTTGTATTTTATGTAAAAATTCAAGTTTTACATTTTCTTTTTCTTACACTAGAATTGATGTCACTAACTTAAAGGCAGACAAATACTTTTGTTTTCTATCTCTTAGCTGAACAAAAATACATAGCATTTTCATTATTTCAAATAATGCAATATAATCCTTTTTTTGAACAAAATGGTCAGGGTGCTAACGAAATCATCTTTGGAGGAAGTGTTTAATAAGCATACTTTATTTAAATAAATTCTCCAGGAGGACATGGAGAATTCACTGTCTTTACTTAGAAGGCTGTGTAAATAGTTAATCTGTCAATTTATATGTGCTGCTCACCAACATTCTCTTATTGAAAACATCAGAATTTCCACATCACAGTTCTTGAAAGGACTTTAAGTCTTAAAATTCTGGTTCTCCTTTGGCTTGCTTCTCTCTTGATTCCACCCAGGCTTTATTAATAGTTCGCTTCATATCATCATCTCCATCTTCATAAATTTTCTTTAGAACATTCATCAGTCCCTCACTAGGATCTGTTTCAGTGTCGTATGAAGGCTTTCTGTTAAAAAAGAAAACACAAGAAATAAAAGAAATGGAAAGATATAATTTTAGGTTGTTAACATTGGCAGGAAGTAGAGGGGATCGAGACAAGAGGAATGAAGGAGGGCCAGCAGGTAGCATGATGGTTAAGGTACTGGACTATGACATGGCCAACTGCGGTTCAAGTCCTGGACTTGGCAGCATGTGTTCTCTCTCTTCTCTCTCTCTCTCTGTGGTGAGTGCATGTGCCCTGTAGCAAGTTAAAAAAAAAAATAACAACAACGAGAAATGAAATTAAATAGATAACTTTTTTTTTTAGAGATTTTTGCGGGACCAGCAGTTAACGTAATGGATATGTCGCTGGACTCCCATGTAGTCGACTGCGGTTCGGGTCCTGGACCCGGTGGCTTAAAACTCATGCCGGGTGCGTGTGCATGTGTGCCCAAGATCCCAAGAGGAGAATGGAGAAGGGATTGCGGCATGGCCATCCCCCCTGGGGGGTGATTTCTTGCTTTCTGTCTGTCTCTGTCTGTCTGGCGAGCGCACGCGCCCTATAGCAAAAACCTCTCCACACAAAAAAAGAAGAAAAAGGGTAATTTGCTGGGACCAGCAGATGGCATAATGGCTATGTTGCTAGACTCCCAATGTAGTCAGCCGCAGTTCAAGTCTCAGATCCAGTGCCTTAAACTCACACCAGATGCATGTGCGTGCATGCCCAAGATTCTGAGAGGAGAATAGAGGAGAAGGGATTGTGGCATAGCCACCCCTCTGGGGGGTGATTTCTCACCGGTCTCTCTGGAGAGCATACATGCTCTATAGCAACCTCCCCACCCTAAAAAAAAAGCAATTTGCTGGACCGGTGTTATCTTCAGGTAGGTTCTTATAGTTGAAAGCAGATACATAAGGAATCAGGCTAATCAGTGGACATCAAAAGGTAAATGGTCAAATCACAGATTACACAGCTCTACAATACATAAAGAAAAACTATTAGAAATCTATAATCCCAGCAAAGAATACATTGAAATCTTTAATTAAAAGTAGACTCACTCTTTCTCTTTGCACTCTTTTTCAACCTGGGTCAGGTAGTCCCATCGTGTGTTTTCTGTTTTCTTTCTACATAATATGAGAACTGTATCGGTCTTAACCTGGAAGTGGGAAAATAGGTACAACTCAGACCATGTGTGATAAGCATGAACACTTAGAAAACAATCCTTACTCCACAATCATGTGCCTTGTATGTGGGAGACTAATTCTAAGAGCTGGTAGTACTTTCATGAATAGGCCAGAATCTGGAAAGACCACGAATAAGCAGTGAAACTTGAATACCTGTAAATATTAGTAAGTGCTACTTACTAAAAGGGTGCTAAAAAGAGAGGGGTAGGAGCTTCATTAGTGAAGCACACTCTTGCACTGAAACCTAAGATCCAGAAGGGCATTCTAGAACTGGCTACAAGATGGACAATCTCTGTGTTTGAAGATAAGGAGTGGCTGGACTTTTAGTGATTGACAGGGTAATTCTGTGTATCTATAATAAGAGGGATCTGGGACAGGCAGGAAACCTGATCATATACAGCAGTATAGGGCAATGTAAGGTATTGGGAAGGTGAGAAAAAGGAAAGAGCAATATACGATTCTTTCAACAATGATCAGTGCTTATCTCCTAATAGTCTGAGTATTCCTTCAACTACCGGATTAGCAGATGAAGGCTGCAGTGAGACACAAGCTTATCAGTAAATTCTGTTACCTTTAAGCTGCTATATAACTGTATGTAAACATGTATAGACTATATATACAGGCATGTATATACCTGATGTAGTAAGCCTCACTGATTCAAATTAGGTTAAGATGTGGGATGTATAAATACTAAAAAGTACGCCTAACAGTTTAAAAGCATTTTCACTATTTTTATAGCATCTACTACAGTTGGGTGTGGTGCTTAAGACCTTTTATGTATCAAAAATTTATGCATATTTCTAACAGCTATAATTAATTTAAGCTATTTACAGATAGATTTCATTTCTGTATATCATTTCAGCTTTGTGAAATATACTACCCAATGGGGAAACTGAGGAAGTGGGTGATCAAACTGCCAAAGTGTATTATCTAGAAGTGGTAAAAGCTGGGATTAAAACTCAGGTCTTGGGACCAGCAGATGGCGTAATGGTTACATTGCTGAACTCCCATGTAGTCAACCACAGTTCATGTCATGGGCCCAGCAGCTTAAACTCACATCAGGTTCATGTGCGTGCATGCCCAAGATCCTGAGAGGAATTTGGGAGAATAGAGAAGGGATTGTGATATGGCAATTCCCCTTGTGGGGTGATTTCTCACTTTCTGTTTCTCTAGAGAGTGCACACACCCTACAGCAAAAATGTTAGGGAAAACAACATCAACAACAACAACAAAAACAGCTCAGGTCTGGGGGCTTGCAGGTGGCATGATGGTTAAAGTGCTGGACTCCCTCATGGCCAAATGTAGTGCCAGTCCCAGACCTGGTGGCTTACTTTCTCACTTTTCTTCTCTCCCTCTCTGTGGTCTAATTTTAAAAAATAATGATCATAAATAAAATTAAATAGTTCCTTCAGGAAAAGAAAAAAAAAAACAACACCCTCAGGTCTCATTCTTAATCACTTTAAAAGTCTCTCACCTCTTCAATTTTAATGCAATCTATTCTTCTACCATAACAGAAGCTTCTCCTATAAAGGGCCATACAGTAAGTATTTTAGGTTTCATGACCCATATAGTCTGTTTCAACCACTTAACTGCCACTATAGCATAAAAACAGCAACAAATAACATAAAAATAAGTATGTTCCTGTTCCCAAAAAATGTCATTTATAAAACAGGCAGCAGACTGTAGTCTACAGGTTCCTATAACACATATTTCTATTAATATTATATCTCAATTTAATCAGTCAGGTTCAATACAATGAGTTCACACAATAGTATGAGCAAAAAAAAGTACACTCACTTTTTTTGAACTGCCTTCAACAGAGATGGGTTTCAAAAGATTGTTCACAATCATGGAGTAACTCTTGCCATTTAGGTTCTTTACCAAAAGATCAAATGACCTACAACATAAGTGAATACATTATCTTTCCAGTTCTATGACAAAGGTCCCCCATCCCAGGTTCACAGACCAATACCTGTCCACGGCCTGTTACGAACCAGGCCACACAGCTGGAGGTGAACAGCAAGAGAGGGGGGAAAGTTTCATCTGTATTTACAGCTGTTTCCCATCACTCACATTAGAACCTGAGCCCCACTTCCTGTCAGAGTCTCATGGGAGCACTAACACCATTGTGAACTGGGAGAGAATCTAGGTTGTGCACTCCTTATGAGAACCTGAAGCCTGATGATCTGAGGTAGAGCTGAATTGGTGATGCTAATGCTGAGGGGCAGCTGCAAATACTGCATGATGGTGAGCTGTCTAATTATTCATTTCATTATATATTAGAATATAATAGTAATAAAGTACACAATAAATTTAATGCATTTGAATCATCTCAAAACCATCCCTGCCTTCCCCCAGCCCCCACCCCCATCCCCAGTCTTTGGAAAAATTGCCTTCTACGAAACCAGTCCCCGGTGCCAAAAAGGCTGAGGACCACAGTTCTACGACAAATTCTCTGTAGTTCTTGTGACAAAGGGGGGAAGGCCAACAGCTTTTAACATTCATCTCTTCAAAGTAGGTGTAAAGGATAATCAAACCTGATTTTAAGCATATTTTACAAACAACAGAGACTCCCAGGACAAGACAATCTGACTCCTAATGATGATTTTCTTTCCCATTATACAAACTCACCTCTCTGTGAAATGCACCTGCACATTCTCAGTAGGAACTTGATGAACTCCAGTTAAGGTAATGTAGCTAGAGAGTGCACACACCCTACAGCAAAAATGTTAGGGAAAACAACATCAACAACAACAACAAAAACAGCTCAGGTCTGGGGGCTTGCAGGTGGCATGATGGTTAAAGTGCTGGACTCCCTCATGGCCAAATGTAGTGCCAGTCCCAGACCTGGTGGCTTACTTTCTCACTTTTCTTCTCTCCCTCTCTGTGGTCTAATTTTAAAAAATAATGATCATAAATAAAATTAAATAGTTCCTTCAGGAAAAGAAAAAAAAAAACAACACCCTCAGGTCTCATTCTTAATCACTTTAAAAGTCTCTCACCTCTTCAATTTTAATGCAATCTATTCTTCTACCATAACAGAAGCTTCTCCTATAAAGGGCCATACAGTAAGTATTTTAGGTTTCATGACCCATATAGTCTGTTTCAACCACTTAACTGCCACTATAGCATAAAAACAGCAACAAATAACATAAAAATAAGTATGTTCCTGTTCCCAAAAAATGTCATTTATAAAACAGGCAGCAGACTGTAGTCTACAGGTTCCTATAACACATATTTCTATTAATATTATATCTCAATTTAATCAGTCAGGTTCAATACAATGAGTTCACACAATAGTATGAGCAAAAAAAAGTACACTCACTTTTTTTGAACTGCCTTCAACAGAGATGGGTTTCAAAAGATTGTTCACAATCATGGAGTAACTCTTGCCATTTAGGTTCTTTACCAAAAGATCAAATGACCTACAACATAAGTGAATACATTATCTTTCCAGTTCTATGACAAAGGTCCCCCATCCCAGGTTCACAGACCAATACCTGTCCACGGCCTGTTACGAACCAGGCCACACAGCTGGAGGTGAACAGCAAGAGAGGGGGGAAAGTTTCATCTGTATTTACAGCTGTTTCCCATCACTCACATTAGAACCTGAGCCCCACTTCCTGTCAGAGTCTCATGGGAGCACTAACACCATTGTGAACTGGGAGAGAATCTAGGTTGTGCACTCCTTATGAGAACCTGAAGCCTGATGATCTGAGGTAGAGCTGAATTGGTGATGCTAATGCTGAGGGGCAGCTGCAAATACTGCATGATGGTGAGCTGTCTAATTATTCATTTCATTATATATTAGAATATAATAGTAATAAAGTACACAATAAATTTAATGCATTTGAATCATCTCAAAACCATCCCTGCCTTCCCCCAGCCCCCACCCCCATCCCCAGTCTTTGGAAAAATTGCCTTCTACGAAACCAGTCCCCGGTGCCAAAAAGGCTGAGGACCACAGTTCTACGACAAATTCTCTGTAGTTCTTGTGACAAAGGGGGGAAGGCCAACAGCTTTTAACATTCATCTCTTCAAAGTAGGTGTAAAGGATAATCAAACCTGATTTTAAGCATATTTTACAAACAACAGAGACTCCCAGGACAAGACAATCTGACTCCTAATGATGATTTTCTTTCCCATTATACAAACTCACCTCTCTGTGAAATGCACCTGCACATTCTCAGTAGGAACTTGATGAACTCCAGTTAAGGTAATGTAGATTTTCACAAACTTATCTGACTGATCCCATCCTAGCAACAACAAAAAGATGGGAATCAAGTAAGCCTCTGAGAATCTCTGGAAGAGTAAATATATATGGCTCACAATGAAACTCAGTAAAACAAAAACAAAAATCTATTAATAGAAACATGAAAAAACTAAAAATACAAGAAAGTTTCTAGATTAAAAAAATAGCCTGAGAAGAGTTTTCTACCCAAAGTTAGGAATCTACCAACTTGTAAAATGGAGATTCGAATTCAGGTTTCAAAACAAGAGCCCAGGGATCAGCAGTATGGCTATGTCACTGGACTCCCATGTAGTCGACCACAGTTCCAGTCCCAGACCTGGTGGCTTAAACTCATGCCAGGCGCATGTGCATGCGTGCCCAAGATGCCAAGAGGAGAAAGGAGAAGGGATTGCAGCGTGGCCATTCCCTTAGGGGGTGACTTCTCGCTTTCTATCTCTCTCTCTGTCTTTCCAGCGAGTGCACGTGCCCTATAGCAAAAACCTTTCCAAAAAAATAAAATAAAAATATGATATTAAATAGTCTTTAATATCGGCTCATTTGCTTTTTCCCCCCTCCAGGTTTTGCCATAGAGCATACATGCTCATGAAAGAAAAAGAAAAGGAGAAAGAGAATGTGAGAAAGTACTCTCTGGGGATATGGCCACACTGCAATTCTTTCTCCTTTTGAGATTTTGGGTAAGCATGCACAGGAGCCTGGTGTGATTTTCAGGCTGCCGGGTACAGAACTCCCAAGTAGCTAGCCATGTGGGATTCAGTCACCTGAACTTCCGTGTCATTTGCTGGTCCCTCATTTATGTTTTTTATGTAAATAATTTTTGTCCTATACCTCAGTATTGGCAATTTTCCTCTAAACTGAAGGTTTAAACATCAACACTGTCCAATTCTATAATTTCTGTTGATACTTTTCTAAGCAATCCAACAATTATAATCCTAGCTTCCTCAGTTCCTTTCTAGTACATGGTAGAATATAAATTCAAAGACTTCTTCATCCAAACCTATTCGGATAAGCTACCATATGTCTATTAACACAATTTCAGCATGTTATCAAACTACTTACAATAGTCTCTAATCTACGTGAACTCTGTCCACCTAAAAATATACGAATGTTATATAAAAGGTGCTATTTGTGTGTGTCAATGTCAATCATCAGTCAGGGATAGTTCTGCCCTTAGTCCGATAGAACAGAAATGTAGTGTTTAATCAAAAAAGATGTTCTAGAAAGTTCTGAAGAACTTCATCTATTTATAGTTTCTTCCTATTCAATCTATCCATCCACCACTTCGACAAGTTTCTCCCCTAATACTTCTGCCACAACTCTAATACCTTCAAACCAGCTTCCTAGTTAACTGAGCATCCCCTGTAGTACCACAGCACATCTCTTAAGCATGACACTCACACTGCTTTTATGAGGACAATACTCAGAATGCATCACGCCTTTTGAGCCTTTATTCATGTTCTGTGCTCATGCTATTCCAATCCTTTCCACCAGATATATACTTACAAACTCAAACTTATTCAGCCCTTCTTATCTTTCTTGTTCCTCATGTCCAAAATTATTCATTTCTTTAGCTATATTCCCATATTATTTCATAAATCTCTATTGTTCAAACAAATATTAAGTATTTACTATGTGCTAGATACTGTGAGCAGAAGGAAAATAAGACTGCCCTGTTCTTGAGAGAGCTTACTTCATACTCCATTGAAGGAAAATGGCATTACTATGGGATTAGTTGTACAGGATCACTTCAAAAAGTCTGAGAAAAACTGCAATTAAAGTAAGAATAAATGCTAAAAATTTTGAAATTCATATAGGTTTTTCTGTAATGTGCATTTTCCAAGAACTTTTGGAAGACCTCCTGTAATGTGTCCCAATGACACTACGAGCAGGGACTGGGTCCTAGTCACTGCTATACATTAAGAAGTCCAAGCACAATAGCAGTACACACGAGGTGCTTGAAACTATTTCCTGGATTGGGACCAGCAATGAGCATAATGGCTATGTCGCTGAACTCCCATATTGTCGACCACAGTTTGAGTCCCGGACCCAGTGGCTTAAACTCACGCCGGGCGCGTGTGCATGCGTGCCCAAGATCCCAAGAGAATGGAGAAGGGATTGCAGCGTGGCCATACCCCCTGGAGGGTGATTTCTCACTTTCTGTCTTTCTGTCTCTATCTTTCTAGAGAGCACATGCACCTTGTAACAAAAACCTCTCAAAAAAACAAATAAACAAACAAAAAACAAACAACAACTATTCCCCCGGATTTAACGGGATTCCCTTCTTCAGTTAATTTTGCTGGTGGTTTGGCAGTAGAAAGTAAAATGTGATTTTAAAACCTACAACATAGGCCAGCCAGTGGCACAGTAATAACATAATGCCCCGTGATGCTGGACCCAAATGGGAAGGTCCCAGGGTCTGAGTACACCAAGAATGCGTGTGCCCACAACCTGGGCACGCTGAGACTAGGGAGGGATCACAGTGTGAAGACCTTGTGGGGGGGAGGGGGGTGTGTATCTTGTTCATGTAAGACATAAATTAACTTAAAAACAAAATAAACCACAGCTATGGTTCATGTATACTGAATGTTATTTCAGAAGCGGGTCCTTCTTTATTATTGCTACTTATCACGTTTACTTGTTAATAGCTTCTAAAAAGTATCCTTCCCATTTATCTCTTTAAAAATAAAGTACCTTATTAAATAAACCAATGGATCGACTTACAAGCCACCAAAAAGCAAACACTTGCAAGTATTTTTTAAATTATGTACTGATTTACTTTGAAAGTGTACCACTAAGGAATAGGTTATAGGGAGCATGAAGAATTAGATGCAGGTCATACCATAATTACTGATTTTCACTGTATATCCTGTTGTAATGGGAGCAACCACAGCAGCTGGCTTTTCATTGTCAAGAAGTTCTGTTTTTTTCTGTGATTTCTGTTGCATCTTGTTCTTGATTTTTTTCTAAATTTTGGATTTTTCAGCTGTAAGAGCATCACGTACTCTTTTCCTAGTGGCCTTTTCCAATAACACCTTTATTTCTTCTAGATCTTTCTGAAGCTGTGTCAAAATAAAAGGCAAGTTAGCTATGATAAAAAAGGAAATTACTTCAGATTATGCCCATCACACATTTCAATTTACTGTAACAAGAGCTAGGAATTAAGGAGTCATCTAAATTTTCTATGATTGAGTTACAACTTCAATTTTCTCTACACCAGTTAAAGTATTGTAAGAAAGCACCTCCCCCATGGAGAATGGTCAGGCTGCAATCCTTTCTCCTCCATGTTTCACGCCAGGTCCAGGACTCAAACTGTGCAACTGGTCATGTGAAATCTAGACCCTTGAACCACCAGGCTATAGGGCTAGCCTCAAGCTTCCTTTTAAAAAAAAAAAATCTTTACTTTTTTTTTTTTTTGAAGAGAGATTTTTGCTATAGGGCACTTGCCAGAGACAGAGTAAGAGAGTGAGAAATCACCCCCCCCCGGGGGGGGGATGGCTATGCTGCAATCCCTTCTCCTCATACTCCTCTAGGGATTTGGGGCACGCATGCACATACACCCAGTGTGAGTTTCAGGCTGCTGGTTCAAGTCGGTGGACTATGTGGGAGTCCAGTGATGCAATCATTATACCATCAGCAGGTCCCAGGAAAACTTAATCTTGAATCAATAGATAGTTTAGAATAAATTTTACAGTTTGGTAGATTATTATCTGCCTGTTTTGCAACATTATTAACAAGAAACTTTTGTGATTTATAAAGTAGAATGAAGAGATATTTTTCATAAAAAGGAGGCCATAGTGGCTGAACACTGGCATAATAGTGAAGAAATGATTGCCTGTGAGACTGACCCACATGGAAGGTTCCAGGTTTGCTTCCAGGGACCTTCCCCTGATTACATGCGCCCATGATCCCGAGGTGGCTGGAGCTGGATGGCAATACTGAGACCATGTCTGAGGTGCTGTCTCTGTTGTTCTCTTATTCATAAAAGAAATACATTAACTTTTAAAAATTTGCATCAAAAACAGAAAAAAAGGAGGTCATACCTCCTTATACCGCCCAGTCATAGTCTTCAGATGTTAGAAAAATTTACATTATTAAAATAAAAATGAGAGCCAGCATGGTGGCTAAGGCCCTGGATTTCCACATGGCAAACTGCGGTTCAAATCCCAAATCCAATGGCTTGAAAATAACGTTGGTGGCCTGTGTATGTGTGCCCAAAACACTGAGGAGAATGGAGAAGGGGCTGCAGTGAGAATCACCCCTACCCCTGCTCTCTGTGCTGAGTGCATGTGCCCAATGGCAAAAAACTAAGTGAATTAAAAAAAAGACAATACATACTGACCATACTACAGCAACTTTACTGAGGTAATGACTTCTCAACTTTTAAGTAAAACTAGTGAAAATCTTGTTCCGAAGCAGGGAGAATCTGACAGTTAGGACTTGGTTGTACAGTAGAAGGGAGACCCAGACAAAGGATCTAAAATGCAACATACTCTTGGAAACTGACCATCTGAAAAAGCCACTCTATTGTTTTCTTCTCATGCCAATATGTCACCTGTTAATCATTTCTACTTTGTATACAGATAGAGCCAGTATTTTATAGAGTTAAAGACAGCATTAAGAAATTAATGAACTATTTTTTTTTTTTTTGTCAATCACCCTGTCATACTGGAAATACATACGGTATTTCCAAACAACTGACTCTTCTTTCTTAGAATGACTTGACTTTACATTCTTGCTTGCTACTTGGGATTTACATCTACATGTACTATCAGAAATACAATAATTTGTATAATATTTGAAGCAGAACAGTCTGAAAGCCTACTAGCCTTACTAGAAAAATGTAGTAACAGTACAACCAAAACTTTTCTTTTACCTAAGTCTTCTATTATTTCAATTAATGCAGATGCCCTTGTTTTGCCTATGAGTAACAGGTAACTTGGGATAGAAAGCCCTACTGGCCCAGGCTCCTGGCCACACTCTCCCCTTCCAAAAAATACTTCCATTACCAAGACAGAAACAAAACTGCAAAGTCATTTTGTACAGAGAATGAAGCCGTTTTAGTTCAAAGCCATTATTAATAATGGTTTCAAAAATTCACGGATTCTAATAACAAGAAAATACTGAAATGTAAAGTGAGTATATTAGCTCCCAGGGTAGCAATTTAGTAAACAAATAGGAAAGGAAATGTGCTGAATCTAAACAGATTTTTTGACTGGAATAGGAATTTTTTAAAAGAATTAATTATCTTTATTTCGTTATTTTTTTTTAATTTGACCAGAGAAGGAGGAACAGGGTAAGTGAGAAAGCAGGCTGCCAGTTTTGGGACTCGAACCGGGGTCAGTCATGTGGGAGTCCAGTGCCTTAACCACCATGCCACCTGCAGGCCCATGGAACAGGAATTATTTTTACGGCCGACTCAGAGGAGAACTGAGAATGAAAAAGGGTCGCCCTTGCACCCCTATGGCTGAGTTCCCAAGCCCTCTCCATTGCCAGATTTGGCTCTAAAGTACTGATGTGTGACAGTCACTGAAGCAACTTTTCTGCAGCCCAGTTGTATCCTCACTTCTCTCTTCCTTGCAGATCTGAAACCCAAGCTGACCCCTTTGGTGCTTTTCTTGCAAATAAACTTTTAAGATGTCCTAGATAGAACCGTTTTCTCTCTAATTTATCTTGCGAATTTTCTTGCTTTCTTGGTATGTATTTATTTTCTGTATGCAGAAATCATTAACTCTTTTTTATCCCTACATATAAAAACATTCAAGCTTTATCTTCTAATAGGTTTCCTAAGTCTTCACTTAGAGGTAAAACCAAAGTGCCTTAAAATGGGCAAAGGACTTTAACAGACATTCCCCCCAAAGACAGACAGTGGGACGTAAAGAACATGCAAAGATGCTCAACATCTTTAGTCATTAGGGAAATGCACCATCAAACCCATGAGATAACCCTTTCACACCCACTAGGATGGTAGCATAAAAAAATAAATAACAAATGTTGAGTATGTGGAGAAACAGAATCTTCATACATTTTTGTGTGGGGGAGAAATTAAACAGGGAAACACTCTGCAAACAGTCTTAACAGTCTTTTAAAGAGGTACCATGTGACCCAGCAATTTCATCGCTTGGTATATGTCCCAGAGAACTGAAAACATCCACAGCAAGACTTATACACGAGTTTTCACTATAGCATTATTCACAATAGTAAACAAAGGAAACAACTTAATAGTCCATCATCACATGATGGCTAGGTGAACAAAATGTGACATCCACACAATGAAATATTATTCGGTCTTAAAAAGGAATGGTATCCCAGTTCGTGTATATCACGATGAACTTGAAAACTATATGCTAAGTTAAAGGAACCACAAAATTAAAAAGCCATATGGCTTGTATAAAAATTGCCCAGAATAGGCAACACCACAGAGACAAAACATCTGTAATTGCCCAGGCTGGGGTGAGAGAGGATTGGGCAGTGACTGTTTAAAGGACATTCAAGGATTTTCTTTGTGGGTGATGAAAACGCCCTCCCCATAGATAGAGGTGATACTTGCACACGGTGTGAATACACTAAAAATCACCTGTACACGTTATGATGGTTAAAAAGGAGAATTTTACCGCAAACCAAAACAAAGTGAAGTGCTCCTAAATGGGTATTTCTAAGTACCTACATTGAGAAAATTCTTGACTGTGAAGAGGACTGATGCTGGGCTCTTCCTACGTGCGACTAAAGGTACCTCAGAGTCTCTCCGTAGGCCACGTGGGTCCCCAACCTGGCAAAGCACCCAGACTCAAACAAGTACACCTCCTAATTTTTCATTTACAGATTTTTTTTTAACTTAAAAAAGACAAATGTGAGAGTTCCCAGTGCTGATTCTTAATAATGAGTGAAAAATTTCTGGAAAGATACCCTGCGCTTTTCTATAAATATGAACAATACTGTGAACTGCCAGCCTACTTCGGCCTGGAAAATAGCAATACAACCGTTATTATTCCCATTTGGTAACTGAGCAAACTGACTCTCCAAAAAGCTAACCTGCCCATGTTCAAAGTTTACAAAGCTTTTAAAGAAAGCTGTTCGATTTTCTGCCATTAATTACAAATAACTTTTCAATTGCTCATTTTTAAAGAAACGAGTGCAGCACATTGATATTTGCCAAGCACTGGCTCCAACATTTAAAAATAACACCCCCTGTTTTTAGCAGCGCTATGGACACTCCTGCGGCACCGAGAAGTGAAATAACTTGCCCAAAGTGGCACAGGGGTCTGTGGGTGAGCGAACGGGGCTGAGAATTACTAGTGCTGGACTTCTCACCGCGGGCCCTGCACCAAGGCACGAC